CATTACAGCAAATTTTCCTTGGGTATCTTGGATTTTGTTGCCAGGAGAATCCACCAGTATAACAAATTTTGTCACACATTTTTTTGACTTGGTTCCAGCAGTTTCTCAATATGACACATGTCACAAAATCACATTGTGATGAACTCATTTAAGATGTGATCTCAGTATAACACATATTTGGCCATGATTCTGTGCATGGACCATACAAATTCTGTGATTCATATGATGAAATTGGCAGAAGAAAAATTCCTACTTGTGCAGCATTAAGATTTCATTAAAATTCAAGAAGCAACTTTTCATGTGAAGAAAATTCAGCATTAAAAAACACATCATACCATGTTCCTTGACAATGCTTGCCTCCTTTTGAGAATGTCTGTTGCTCTTTCAAATAAACTGAATGATGTTAGAAAGAATATTCCTGTACAGTATTAAGAAAAAAACTGGCACCAATGGGCTACAACAAAACTCAAGGGACCGGAGAATTTCATTGTAGACAACCAATATAGCATAAGGAACCCTATGGGACCAACTAAAAATTAATTTTACAGAGAAACATTTGTTTTTGATAAGATAGTTGTGGAGAGAGTCCACCTGCATAAATGAATTCATTAAATTTGAATGAAGCATTTCTTACACGTATACTCTGTTTAATTCTGTTTTCAAAAGACAATCATCAAATTAATAAAAAGAGAGTTTCACAATATGATTAATTTTATGAGAGAGACTTCAAAATCAGGACGGGTGTTGAGTCATCAGTTGAATCCCATTACAATAATTTGCATCCATTTCCCAGAAAATGTCAGTCTAAAATAGGTTAGAAACCATGAGTAACAATACAACAAATGTTTCACAATAACGAATTTTTCCTCAGATCCCTGCAAGTCCGTTGTAATGAGATTTTACTATCACTGTAGCAATGCGCAAAAAAAAATTGATCACTGCAAACAAAAGAAAACGGAAAAGCAAGTTGAAATAAAACCTAATCCACTTGACCTCATGTGACCCAATTTGAATCAACACAAAATGTATATAATCGCAACCCTACTCTAATCCCTCCTCGTTTCCACAAAATTTGGGTCACCATGAGATGTACGGAAACGCGACGCGACTACGATCACCTTCTGTTTCCACAAAACTCAATTTTTAGAACGATTCTCAATCATGACCATAATTTCACGCGTACTTCTTAGCGATTGGCACAAATGCGAGACTTGAAGCACTGATCACACCACAAAAAATGCACAATTTTCGGCGATAAAAAGGATTCTTTCGAGTAGGACTTGAGAAGGTTTATTTCGTTATATCGGCCTCAAGTGAACTGGCGACGTCTACCTACGGGAGAACTTTTACCCAAACTAATGCATTACCACCCAAACTTTATAACACCTTGACATATTTTAAGCATTAAAATTAAAAGTATGCGCGAGCACATCACACAAATATGGTCACAGCAACTAATCGTATATCAACAACCTCAGCGAAACTTCTTGAAATAACTCAAATATCTCTTGAATAAGGTTCAGTTAAACCTTGATAACTTCAATCTTCCAAAATCAAATGCTGCAGCTTCCCATCTCAAAAAGTACCAATCGGAATTCCTCCAGAAACAATGCATTAAAAATCTGAACTCAAAAGCTTTCCCTTCAAACCTCCATAACTCAAATTTTCTCGAGGCCTCTTGACTTTAATTGTATTGGCACAGGAAAGAATATGAAAAAATCCAACTTGATGGATTTTGAAAGGAAGAGAGTGTGATTAAACAAATGATCACTGGCCTTCAAGTTCAGTAACCTGTCAAGTCATTTGAGAAGCAATTGAAAGTTCAAAATATCACCTACATTACGAATTCCTAAAATTGTACTTTTTCCCCCCGAACAAAGAGACTCATTTCCTCAACTCAAAACCTCCCGTAACTCAAATGTTTTTCGCTCGTCCCGTGGAATTCGAGCTCTGATTGTATCAAAAATCAAGGTCTGGAGTGCATGCTTACATAGAATCGACACTTGCGATTATCTTTCCAGAAACTATTTCTTTCGAAGCACACGCACAATGAGGCTAGATCAGTTCACAGAACATCATGTTGTTTCTCACTTACAGAAGCTGAGAGATTTCACTCCTACACTCAATATTTCAACGAACTGATCCGGTTAACACTTGGGACTTCAAAACAACTGACGATGAGGTGAAGATTCACCATCACCCACTGGATCCCACAAACACATTGAGCACAGCGACGACGAGTTGCCAGCGGGTCTAGCGTCACCCGAAACCCTGACACCCGAAGCTTCACGGCAGCACACGTAATAAAACGCCCCCCGCATCCTGTGGGAACGAGGCTAACAAACATGTCACCGATGAAGGACCATCGATCCCGAAAAAATAAAGATGGTTTGTTTCTCTGGTTTGTATCACAGGGACGATTCATCATGACATTCCTTTTCCACATATCCACTCGGAAATCCGCGCTTCGAGATCGTCACCCGCGTTTCCGCTAACCCTGAGCTACCCGGACGACCAATATATTTTTTTTCGTACTGATTCCGGATTCCCTCGGCATCGCCTGAGGTGCGGGGAAAACCATGCGAGAGTTTCCGGGTTTTCCCGAGAAAGCCAATCTGGACGCCTTCGGGTTAACGCACCCAGTCCCATCACGAATGTACTGTATTCACTCACACGCGACACGGTATGTATATTAACCATTTTCTTTCTCTTTTTACAGGGCAGTCGTATTCATTTCTTCTGAGGTCCAGAGAAAATTACGCGCACAGATCCACTGAAATCACCGGAGACACGCGATGCCCGAGAAGATATAATTCACGCCAATGCACAAGGCTCCACTGATTCCAAGAAGCATCTTCATACTTCCGTTCCTCGAAAAAGTTTGGTCACTCAGATTGGTCCACTCATTAATCATGTTTCGGAATACACCGCGAGGAAAAATCATGCAGATATTAGAAAATATATCTTAGTAAGCATCGTATTTCAATAGTGCAAGGATGCTTTCCCCAATTTATTTCGAAGTACCTCGCGTTCGGTACTGTATGATGAAAGCGCACCATGTCATTGATGAGAAAGAGAAAAGCTTCGGGCATTCACCCCGAATTAGAAATGTGTGGTAGTTCAAAACCTACTCTAAAATATTGTAAGTGATTTTACTGTTTCCAAATTGACAAGATTTTTTAATCCTTGATATGCAAGCCCATCGCAGAATTAACTGAAGATGTCGCAGTGGATTTAGAGGCACACCCAAATGTTCACTCAACTACTGTACACGTCTGTTTCCTCCATCTCAAGAGCTCAAGTCAGAACAAGCTGAAAAAAAACTAAATTCGAAAATGAGTAACGGCCATTGGGAACAAGGGAAGAATGAACAGGGCAAGGCAATGCGACGAAGTGAAGATGGTGGTCGCGTCATGGCGCAAGAATCGATTATTCTAAGCATCGCAGGTCAAACGGCTATCTATGCTTCTTCACATTTCCAAAGTACTCCCCAAATGATAGATGCTCAGAATTTGTATTTACAAGCGCGAAATTTACAAGTGAAACAGTCTGCATTGGTTAACCATAACGAATCACGATGAACAGGAATCTTCACATCTGAGAAAACTGAAGAATGGCACGAAATACAAATAGATTATTTGATAGAAAATCTCACACGAAATATCACTATGAGTGAAGACCCATGAATGCATTTTTTTTAATTGCCTCTCTCGAGTAATTCGCCGACTCCACGCCTTATATTGTCGACGGATATTCTGATAAAATTTTCCCGCGACTCAAGAAATAAACAGGGTTTGATATACTTGAGCCTTTCTCGTTTAGACACGGGCTTGCGTCTACCAAATGGGAGCGTTTGAAAGGTGTGCTTGCGTTAAAATAGTATCGCCTTGTTGCTTTGAAGTCTTCGTCCATAAAAGTTATAGTATATATGGCGTCAATGTCAGAGAAGAATTCAGTCACTGGTCAAAAATCGCACCCTCACCGAAGACTAATGTAAGCCCTCAAGAAGTAAACTCGCCGACATGTCACAGGTTACTGCAGGGTTTATTTGAGTATATTTAAAAATCAGATCTATGCCGCGGTTTTTCTCAAATGGTAGAACGAGGAAGAGCTCCAAAATGTATTTCCGGGTTGTTTTTTCCCCACATATTTATCGCAATAAAGTACAGTACTTCCGATTGTTGTATGCTGGAAATGATTCGAAAACAAGGAATGCACATCGTTCGAAAACAACGCGTTTGACGCTTGTAACAGATCCACAGGACGTAAAAAAAAGTAAAGTCTCCCTACATTTGCAAACACAACACATCTGAAGAATCTCGGCACTTCAATTCACCATAATCCAGATCAAATTAATTCGAACGAGAAAAGAAAACCCTGCTCGTCCACGAAATTTTTCGTCTCGATCAGGTTTGCAGCAGACCAAAGGGGCGGCCATTTGTGCTGGTCGTACGTGAGGTACAGCCAGCTCCACCTGTGCAGTCAGTTCATGCCGGCACTCCGGCATGAACTGACTATGATAACGTCGTTTTCATTGTAAATGATTCCGTTTTTTTTTTTGCTATTTCGACTTTCTGCGAATATTTCCAGTACAGTACTGTACATGAAAGTCATGGCTGCTTTAGGCTGAAATTATATGAACATATTTACTGTATTTTATTCAGCTGGGGCCATTTATGAATGTTCCATTAAATCAAATTTTGGGCGTACCAAGTACCAACTCATCGACGCAGCATCTATAGAATAAGTTCTTCATCTTGATTGGTTATTGCTTACTTAGCTTTTTTTCGTCATGAATGAACCCCTTCAATTCGTTGATTCCCTCACATAAAGCTTGGATGTGCATAGTAAATGTCCTCAATCAGATCATCATATCTTGCTTCTTGAGCGCCCTTTCTATGATGCTCCTATGCTGGCTGCAGATGTTCAAGGGATTTTTTTTAATTCTCTTGTTCCAACCATGAATCAAAAAATCAAATGCAATCATTCAAGTTTCTGTCTTACACATCACCATGAGGCATCACCATCACCATTGGAGATAAATTAATATATAATAACTAAGAAGAGGAAGATAAAATCAATAAGGCAGTATTTCTGAAATTGGCCAGAGAGAAGAAATCTGAAAATATATACCTGCTTCATTAAAATTGATAAAGCAGTTGCATGAATAGTGGACACATGATTCTAATGGAGATGTGACATTTATAAGCGGCAGACTTCAACACAACACATGTTCATCAAAGAAGAGAACGCTATTATATATATTAGGCCTCAATTATGGGAGTTATGCTTACCAAAATCATGATATAATTCTAGATTAAAAGATAATATCATAAAGAAGAGAGGTCGCCTCCTTTTAAGTAGTCTCTTTTTTTTTTGTTCGGTTTCTTCCCTTACAAATTTACCCGTCCGTCCACATAGAATGAGTTTGACGGTGTTATTTCCAGGAAAAAGCATTCTCCAGGCTTTTATCCTTACTTGAAGGTGTGGACAAAAAATGCTACTTATTTCCACTTCTAATGAAATGGAACAAACGACTGAAAAAACTGCACAATAAAATATCAAGATCAGGGAAACAGATGATATTTGTTCTTTGGTACGAAGAGGAATGTCAGCAGATTGACTACAGTGACTAGAATAAGTGATGCAGTATGGTCAGGCATCATTTTCCATTTTAATTTATACAGTCCAACCTCCATAAGTCAAACCTCCCTAAGTCAAAAACCTCCCTAAGTTGAATTTTTCCCCAGCCCCCTTGCAATCCCTTAAAGAATAATGTTGAAAAAACCTCCCTAACTCGAAAAACTTGAATGGAAAACCTCCCTAAGTCGAATTTTTCAAACACAAGGAGACACCAGATTTAATTTTATTGCAGGGGTTTTGGGGGAGGAGAGCTGCTTCAATGTGAAGCAGCATCCTCCCCCATTCATTGAACAAAGAGACACTGTTTCCAGCGCCTGGGCACCATGTCATTTTACTGCTGCAGCATTCACCCACAGAGTAAAACTTTTCGAAACTGTTAAAAAAAGGAAACAGGCTGTTTTCTACTTAACAGGACCCCAATGATGTAGATTTTTCTTTTTTTCTTTTAACATACCAGAGCAACAATCTGCATTTTTGGTTCATGGGATAGATGCCCACCAACCTTTGTGCCCAGAAAATCCAAAGCCCTGCATTTAAAAAAAAGGTTGGCCAATGGGTGACAAAGGAGAAGATGCCTTGGATGAAAAAATAAAGTCCCAGGGACAGTTCCTGGCATCCTGGGTATAGGTTTCTTGATGGGACCATAAGTCAGTCTATTGTCTTTTTCCCCAGCCCCCTTGCAATCCCTTAAAGAATAATGTTGAAAAAACCTCCCTAACTCGAAACACTTGAATGGAAAACCTCCCTAAGTCGAATTTTTTAAACACAAGGTGACACCAGATTTTTTTTTATTGCAGGGGTTTTGGGGGAGGAGAGCTGCTTCAATTTGAAGCAGCATCCTCCCCCATTCATTGAACAAAGAGACACTGTTTCCGGCGCCTGGGCACCAGGTCATTTTACTGCTGCAGCATTCACCCACAGAGTACAACTTTTGAAACTGTTAAAAAAAGGAAACAGGCTGTTTTCTACTTAACAGGACCCCAAGGATGTAGATTTGAGGATGTAGACACACCAGAGCAACAATCCGCATTTTTGGTTCTTGGGATAGATGCCCACCAACCTTTGTGCAAAATCCGAAGCCCTGCATTTAAAAAAAAAGGTTGGCCAATAGGTGACAAAGGAGAAGATGCCTTGGATGAAAAAATGAAGTCCCAGGGACAGCTCCTGATGGCATCCTGGGTATAGGTTTCTTGATGGGGCCATAAGTCAGTCTATTGTCTTTGGTTTCACAAAATAAAATTGTTGCAGTTCCTTCCCAAAAAGTGTCTATTGCAAAGGCAGGGTAGTAATCTTTTTTCCTCATCAACCTGACAGAACTTCTCTAAAAAAAATTTGATTACAAGGTCAGCGGTATCAAGTTAAACATTTTTATAAAATGAAACAATACATCAAAACTGCTGTTTCCACAAATAAGTGTCCAAAAAACTGCTGGAGCCTTCAATACTGCATCATATATTATTTGAGTTAATTTTTTCAAATCATTAGGATGTTTGATGTTTCTCCCATTTTTTTTATTTAAAACTATTTCCAGCACATTGCACCCTTGATCAATCTGACTTTTATTGCATCTGCATGGTTACACTGCATTTGAAGAAACTTATAAGCAGGTGAACATTTCAGGAATGATCAAGGTATGGAAGTTCAACTGCATAATTGTTACCTGACAAAACAAAAATTGTTTTCAAAGCTTGATACAGCTTTGTATGAAAGGCCCACACAAATACCCCCTGAGAAATGTTCAAATAAAAGCAAACTTTGGGCAGAATACTTCACTTCACATAAATGTCAAAGTCCTTTGAATAATGAGCCCTGAGAATCAGTCAGATAAGCTACATACAACAGCTGAAATTAACTTTATACTGGTCAATTTGCAGGCTTGTATGTCCACTTGAAATAGGACCAGGTGGGATATCTCCACTTGCAACAAAATTCAAGGGGCCAGAAAAAAATATCCATTGTAGAAAACACATTTCCTCTTAGATATTTTATTGACTGAAAATAATGTCCCAGAAATTGAAGCATGCTGGGGAACAGGACTTGGGGATGAAAGAAGAAAGATTGGAGAAGGAGATAAAATCTGCAGCACTTCCTTAATGGTGCTGCAGGTTAAAGGATTTTTTTGGTGCAGGCAGTCAAAGGGGTGGGCACTGGATTATTTACCTGCATTTTGTGCCCCTCAAACTCATTGAAAATAGCTTCTACAGGAATTTTAATTGTGTTTCCAAACATTTTTGTCTCAATTTTTCTTCCTCTACATTTTTCTTTTGTCAGAATAAGTGAAAGTGGTCTACTGCCTTACCATGTCAAGGAAAGGGCATAAGCTAAAAAATATCTATCAATGAAAAAATAACAATTACAACAGCTGTGGAAAAAAGCTAAGAAAAGTGGTCAACAACAAATTTCAGAATGAATTAAAAAAAATGTACATGCAGGATTGTAGAAGATCAGCTGCTGGAAAGCAGCAGATGAAGTGCATATGCAGAGAGAGAGAGAGAGAGTGATTCTGATAAACTTTTCCTGATGAAGAACACTTGCATAAATTTTGGAAATTTTGGCAAGGATCAAAATTGATTCTCTTTAATCATGAGACTATGACAGAATTCTACTGAGAAAAAACTAAACCTAGAATATGAATAAGAATATATTAGGTAAGAAAATTGGTGCACGAATATTCACAGCCTGATTTCTACCCATCTTCCAAAACACCTTTCCATCACCAGGACACAACCCAACTGATGATAAATCATAAAAATCTGCACTATTTATCCTACAGTTCCTGTCCCTGGAATTCCTTCCTGGGTTTGGCTAATGCATGAGAGAAAGTGAAAGAAATAATCTCCCAACACATGAAATAACCCCTTCCTTCCTGTGCATTCCTAATCTGTAATCCCTAATCCTTGTTTCCTGTCCCTGGAATTCCTTCCTGGGTTTGGCTAATGCATGAGAGAAAGTGAAAGAAATAATCTCCCAGCACATGAAATAACCCCTTCCTTCCTGTGCATTCCTAATCTGTAATCCCTAATCCTTGGAGAGAAATTTCTCAGAGTTTTCCTTTGGAGAGAAGATAAAGAATCTCCTTTTAACCTTGTTTTGACTTATATAGGGATCAATATGTGCCCTTTCCCAGAGTTGTAGTCACATTCCCCCAATACTTCATTCCAAAAATTTTTTTTCTTCCCTGTTTTCAAAACCTCCCTAAGTCGAAACCTCCCTAAGTCAAATTTTTTCCCTGGTCCCTTGAAATTCGACTTAGAGAGGTCCAACTGTATAAAGAGATGAAATTAAAATAAGCAGTTCACATTTTACAAGCACACCTTATGCATGCACTTCATTGAATTTTGCTTGGGTAAGGCTGGAGACTGGCTACATTTTCAGGCATTCCACAGATATGATTATGGTATTTCTTTAGAACTTCTTGGAGACTATTTAAAAGTTTCATCAGCAGCTGAGAATCCACCAAATTTTACCTCTACAAAAATGGCATTAACATAAAGGCTCCACTTGATATTCCTAAATTAATGGAATACCCATGGTGAATCCCTGTGTGATCAACTGATCCTCAATTAATAGGGCATGAAAGAAATGGGAATTTCAGCTATTCTCATATACTGTAGTTTTTCACTCAAGCAGATAAGAAATAGAACATCATAGGATACACAGCAATTCAATATAATGCCTTTGCAAAGCAACAAGTATTTGGATTCAGCAATGCATATTCTTGACCTCAGCAGATATGAATCAGGTGAACATTCCATTTTATAAATTGTCCAAAAGGTACAGTTCCACAATTTTTTTTTCTTTTTTCAGCAGTTTCAATCATGCAACATATCTTCTCACAATCATCCTGATGGGCGCCACAGTCCAATGAGGGAATAGCATTATCAAGAAAAATACATGTGCAAATTTAATTCAGTTCCACATTGAAACAGATCCAAAAATGCATAAATTTTGGGGAAAAGCTTCCAAAAAACACAAGAAGTATGCAGAGCAATAATATGGTTCAAATGAACCCTGGCATAGGGCTCTTCTTAATGCTGGAAGACATTCCACTGATACCCCTCCTCTTCAACACCCTTAGAATATAGCCCATAATGTCTTTGTTGGAGTATTTGGAGAGCTGATCTTTCCTTCTACTGTATTCTTTGGCAATGTCCCATGCATCTGTTGGACTGAAAAAAAGATGAGATTATTGGAATCTTCAAAAGGAACTTTGGTGAAGTCAACATATCTTATCAGTTGATCATTCAATATCATGAATTAATTTGAGTCCATACAAGAGCACTCTGATATGTTGCAGAAGAAATAATTGAGGCAAAAAATAATTAATACAGGTTTGGAAAAAACTCAAATATAAAGAACCATATAAAAGACCTGATGGTGTGTAGAACTCCAGCTTCATCCTCAAACTTTATAGCACCAACCACCAGAGGACTGTCATCCTCATCATTAGCCACTAACACCAAGGTGACAGGGACAAGCTTTTGTTCATGTTTCCCATTTCCAACTCTGTTCTCAGGCTTAGGCCAAACAGCAGGGAATGTTGAACATGCTGTGAAATCATCATCATCTGAACCAGACACATGACCATCAGGATAGTTGGGTGACCACTTCAAGGGATTGGGAGTTGACCAACAGTTTTTGTACTGTCTTCCATTGCTGGAGTCTTGCCCTTTATGCTTGCTTTTCTTCACTTTGCGCAGGATTCTGACAGGGGTGCCCTTGATTTTCTCACTTTCACTGCCTCTATATTTGAAGGAGAAAATGTTTTTAATTCAATGCTCATTTCTGTCATGGAATTGTCTCACTGACAAGGACTCACCAACATTCCAAATTTTAAAAAGCATAATTCATCATGCAAAGAAATTATTTCAGTCAAATATGACATACAATATACACATCAGAAACAGTTGCTCCAAGAAAAAAAGTGAGTGAAACTCTGTTGCATATTACAAGATCAATTTACACATTTCAGTATCATCTCAAATTATCAACGGATTTATTTCCTTTTAGAGTTGAATTCATTCCATTGCTGCTGATTCTTCTGTCCATACATAGGAAAATTTGAAATGTGCCCTCATAATCATGTCCCAAAGTCCTCCATTCTTATTGTGGATAGAGTTGGACTCTCTCTCTACACAATGATCTTGTCTACTACAATTTTCCCTGCACAACACTTTTTTTTTGGCCCCATACAGGGCTTCATCCCAATTGGATTCTATGCAAAAAAACTCCCTCTAAAACAAATTTATTTCTGATCTCTTCAAGCTTGTTGTAGAGAGAGTCTGCCTGTAAACAGTAAAAGTATATTTTCATCAAGGATTTGTTGCATCAAGAAGCTAATACAGTGAGAACCCAAAATACAGACACCTCAACATTTGGACAATTTGACTTGGGGACACTTGGAACAATAAAAATCAGGCCCAACATCCAGACACTTTCCAGCATTTCTATTGGAAAGTAAAAAAACGTAATTCTTCAAAATTTGAATATCTCCTGAAAAATTAAGCTATTTATATTCACAGAGGTTAGAAATGAATTTCATTATATATTTAGCTAACTTTCATTATAAAAAATGTTCAAGTGTGTACTTAAATTTAGGATTCTTTATTATCTGTGTACACTGTAGATAGAAATACAGTATTGTACTTATACTTTTTGTTTGCATTTTTGGGTCCTTTTTTTATGCCAGAATTTCATGTGTTTTTTTCTATTCTGAATAGTTATATTCTGTATCTTTAGTTGAGAAGCACATTTATTTGATTTTTGTGGGATTTATCCCTAATGTTTGAAATACCGGAGAACCAATTAAATCCCATTTGCTCCCATTGAAGTCTATGGGAAAACAAGGTTTGACATAAAGACATTCCAACATTGGGACACAGTTCTAGCACCAATTACATCCGCATCTTGGGGTATCACTATACATTTAATTCAAATGCTGTATTTCTCATAATCATGTCCCAAAGTCCTCCATTCTTATTGTGGATAGAGTTGGACTCTCTCTCTACACAATGATCTTGTCTACTACAATTTTCCCTGCACAACACTTTTTTTTTGGCCCCATACAGGGCTTTATCCCAATTGGATTCTATGCAACAAAACTCCCTCTAAAACAAATTTATTTCTGATCTCTTCAAGCCTGTTGTAGAGAGAGTCTGCCTGTAAACAGTAAAAGTATATTTTCATCAAGGATTTGTTGCATCAAGAAGCTAATACAGTGAGAACCCAAAATACAGACACCTCAACATTTCGAAAATTTGACTTGGGGACACTTGGAACAATAAAAATCAGGCCCAACATCCAGACACTTTCCAGCATTTCTATTGGAAAGTAAAAAAAACGTAATTCTTCAAAATTTGAATATCTCCTGAAAAAATTAAGCTATTTATATTCACAGAGGTTAGAAATGAATTTCATTATATATTTACCTAACTTTCATTATAAAAAATGATCAAGTGTGTACTTAAATTTAGGATTATTTATTATCTGTGTACACTGTAGATAGAAATACAGTATTGTACTTATACTTTTTGTTTGCATTTTTGAGTCCTTTTTTTATGCCAGAATTTCATATGTGTTTTTTTTCTATTCTGAATAGTTATATTCTGTATCTTTAGTTGAGAAGCACATTTATTCGATTTTTGTGGGATTTATCCCTAATGTTTGAAATACCGGAGAACCAATTAAATTACGAGGGTAACTTCAGATACCCTTTTGTTCCAAACTGTATTTCTGTAAGGTTGTAACCCTGTGTCAAGATCGTGGTTAATGTAGGCGTAGAACCCCATAGTGATATGTAAATTAAGTTTACGACATAATCAGCATTTGACATATTTTCAACAATCAGTAAGCAGCAAAAAGCAAATAAATACGGTATGGCATCAGCTAAAATTATCAAGGATTATATTAAGCTCATCAAGTGTCCAAGACTTCTAAATGGAGAAATACAGTTTCTACCAAAAATGTATGTGGGCAAAATACATTTTTGAAGAGAACCTCTATTATGACACCAGGGAAAACCACATGATGGGATCACAATACAATTTGTTATACTAATAAACATTGTTCAGAGAGTCCACCTGTATAGCCAAATGATATTTATGTCCAAAATAATCCACTCTTGGATGGTCACTCATTCAATTCACAATTAAAAGAAGCCATAATTAATATGAAGGTACAGTGGTGCCTTGCCTAACAACCACAATTTGTTCCTGCATGGTGCTTTAGGCGCAATGGTCATATTAAGGCAGGTCATATTTTCCCCGAAGTATTAATGAAAATCCCATTAATTGGTTCCTGAGAAAAAAATCTGGCAGAAAAGTGCAAAAATTTGCCTAAATTTCCAAATAACAAAGCACAGATCCCTGAAAACACTGCTTTAATCCATTCAGATGCTTTTCCTTATTAAATTGCCTTGCTCTCTTTCAAGAATAACCCACAAAATCAATAGCAATTGTACTTCATGCATATTCAACATCAATAAAAAGCAGGAGACAATCCTCTTGCATAACTTTGCATAGACATCACTTTTGCATGAGGTACATGAAGCAATTTTAGGCCTGGAATACAGTATTGCCAATTACAATTTCCTTCCATTCTTCTCACTTTCCCTCAACAAAAATGCTTGAGAAACAACCACTTTTTTGAGGGCAAGAAACAATAGCATCAACATGTTATTCTTCTGAATTTATTAGTTCAAGCTGTGAAGGCCAGAAAAAACATTTTCCAGGCAAGTCAGTGGTCATTAGGCAAGTCTATTTTTCAGGTTTTCAGTGGATTTTAAGCAGATAAGTCGTTAGGCAATACAATTGTTAGGCAAGGCACCACTGTATAAAACATCTCTACAATGAAATTCAAGGGGCCAGAAAAAACTTTTTGCTGAGAAACCCTATAACTGTATAACAGAACCCAATGCAGACACAAAACATTTTTTATACAGAGAAAATTCTTCAAGACAAGATCATTGTACAGAGAGTCTGCCTGTAGTAAGAGTTTAAATAAGCTAAAGCTTTTATAAATTTAACTATATACTTAAGTGTATATAGGAACATTGACTCACAAGCCACAGAAGTCCTGGACCCACTTAATCATTCCACACATCGAGGAAATATCACAGAAAGTCAAAAAATGAGAACAAGGACGAAAAATAAAAGTCTTGAATAAATAAAGACAAGAACCTTCATAAATCCTCTCCCTACACAATCCTTTATTCCCAAAGAAAAAAACTTATCCAAGCCGAAAAAAATCTCGTTCACACCTTGGAATGATGAAAAGTAAAAAGAAAGGAAGCAGCAATTCAGCCAAAAATTTTCCCGGATTTTTCCAACGCGCAGTTCAAAATTTCTTCCTCTTCTCAAAAACGGAACAAAGCACTGATTTCTCATCTTCACGCTTTCAAAAACCAAAACAAAAAAAGAAAGCTTGGAAGCAGTGATCAGATCATGATGATGAAGACAGCATTCGAAAGCTCAAGTTCGAAAATTTGACAAAGCTTTCTTCACACAGGGTTTTGTTTTTCTTAAAAAAAACCGCTTCATCTCACAAATTTCACAACTTACACGAGAAAGGAAAACACACACGCCGATCTAAAATTTATTTACACTTTTACTGTGACAACACTTGTGGCATGAACATCGACACAAAAACGGGAAAAAGAGAAAAACAAAAAGCAAACAAAATAAATAAAATAGCTCAAATACTCGATGTTTTTTTTCCCCCCGATCGAATCGTGATTGCAGAAAATGAAGACGCCAAAAATTCCCACCGATCATAATTCGCCACATAATTAATGAGCAAGTGGATATTTTTCTTTTCGTGCTAGCGGAGGACAAGTCATTACAAAAAAATCAAGTGCCAAAAAAAGGAAATTTATAAAAAGGCAGTGGCATTTTGCTCCCAGAATCACAGTCACACCATGACTGCAATAAACACAAAAATTCGGAAGGATAAAAGGGTTCTTATACTTATCACAGAGCAAAAAGCCAGGAAACAACACATGAATAAAAGTTGAATAAAATACTATCGCGAAATCAAATTTCAAAAAACGAATCTCTCGAATCCAAATTATTCATATGTTTTTTCATGTCCTCCGCCAGGTTTCCTAAATCAACTTCAGAATTTTTTAGAATCGTTCCTGCGAAAGTATCCCATAGAAAAAATTCAAAAACCGAAAAAACCCACGTCTGAATTTGATGATGGTTCACTCATGACCAACCATCTTAATTCTATATCGTAGTTAATATGCATCATAAATATATTCCGAATAAATGCTGATACTAAAGTTCCCTTCATATTATCCAACACGGGTGGATCGCCCTTGAATCTGTCATTAAATGACATGGACTTGTAATATAACTACCAATTAAAGGAAGTATTAAAGCCTACTACGCTATAAACGCTCTTCTCTAGTCATCTTTTAGTAACCGGTTAGTTTTTTGCATTCTAATTTTAGTCACCTTATTAAGTGAGAAGAGGATTAAATAGTGACTTCAGAATAATCAGAGTAAAACTCGAAGAGAACTCTGATCAGCTCTCTGCTCATGCAAATGCGCAGCAAACCAAGCTCCAGCACTGATGTGAAGAACTCAAGAAATACATAAATAATCATTGATTATGGCGAAAGATAAAGGATCCCCGAAGTTCCATCAAAAACATGTTCTGATGTGGCGCGAAAAAACTCATCGGCATCGCATCATCATCATATCTTCATCCCCATCATATTATTATTCGTCTGCCAGCGCCATCGTCCTCTTCCTTCGCAGAGCAGCAGCGACATCTGTCCTCTCCGCCCGACAACACTCACTCCACAAGCTTCCTTCAGTACTCCCAGAGTGTCGCGTTCTCCGCGTCGGCGACGACGCTAAAGCCGCCGTTCTTGGCGGCCGCCAGGAATTGGGCGTCCGCAGTCTTGATGCGCACGCGCGACGGCTCAGCCAGCTCGAAAAAGAAGCCGTCGGGTTGGTCGGCGTCGCACGAGACTTGGCCGCCTGTGGGACGCCAGAATTTGCCGTTCTTGCCCTGCAAGTGCACGACGCCGTTGGGGCCCTTCTCCACCAGGATCGTGTCGTAGGAGGCCTTGTTGCACTCGAGCTGGGTCGAGCCGGACCGCGTGCCCACGAAGCCCTGATCACACTTGAGCACCAGCACTGGCCTGTGAATGGAGTTTAGAGAAGTTAAAAAATCTTCCATTAGTAAAAATAATTGCAAAGATCATGTGGGGAATAAATCCTGAACAAGTAAGAAATTAAATACATTGAGATCCCGACATGCAGACGTCTCGACCTGCGGACAATTTGACATAGGGACACTTATTTTCCCAGAAAAAAAATCAATAAATAAGGCCCAACATGAGGACACTGACTCAACATAGGGACATTTTNAAGTCACTATTCAATCCTCTTTAGTGAATTATTCCACTGATTTTAATCTTACGTTTTTTGATTGGCCAATGATTTTCTACTGATCTCTTCTCGCAAATATCGCATCATCCGAAATTATGAAGGAAATTTACCATCCATTTAGCTAATTAAAAAAAATTACCTCCAGCATAGAGAGACTTATACTTTTTTTCACTTGAATGTTACTTTTGTAGATGCCAAAATTTCAGTGTACAGTACAGAGATACACTATTCCACGCTCCGAATGTTCTTTTTGAGTTGAAAATGTATTCACTAATTCAAATTCAAGTGGCAAACAATTTTTTTTTCAGGGAATTCTGAAGAATATTTCTTCCACAAAACACCAATTAAAAATTGTATAATGTAAGTCTAGGGGAAAACAAAACTCGACTTAGGGACATTTCGACTCGGGGACACTCTTGTTGCACCAATTACGTCCGCATTTCGGGGTCTAACTGTAAATCTTCCATCAGTAAAAATAATTTGCAACGACGAGAAAATATTTCGAACATTTTCATATAACGGAGAATTGAAATTCTTAAAAAACCTGACACAGAAAAGCCAGAAGAACTCAAAAAATTTATGCGCGGAAATCTTAAAAAAACACACTTCCCGGGATCCAATCGTAATTTCCGTCTGCGAAATTGCAAATTTCCGGTTTAAAAATCAGATTGTACAGTATTCAAATGTATTGTAATTATTTTTCGGACCATATTTAAACATTTTAATATGAAAATACAGCAAAAACGTTGGTTGTGACTTGTGATACACTTTTCGCTATATATTGTCATTTTAAAACTGTTTTGATACGGCCAGAAAAATAATCGAATTCAAAGAAATTAATCTGTTTGTTTGAAAATCTGAAATGTGTGCATTTGTAAATTTTTAATTTGGTTGACGCAAATTTTAATTGGAAAGAAAAATACAGAAAAAGAGGCATGGCTTAATATATATTTTTGCGGTTCTTTTTACATATTCCGATATGTCCTTGAAAATAAATTAGATTCGAAGACCATTTTAGTCTGATTTTTAAAATCTGAAAATTTGTGCATTTGTGATTTCGTTGACGGAAATTTTAATCGGAAAGAAAAATACAGCAAAAGAGGTATGTTTTTTGTGATACCTTTTCTACTACAGTATATTGAAAAAAATATTCTCACGGCCAGGAAAATTCCTCAAATTAAAAACAGAATATAAAAAGTTTTACCTTCGTGAAAGGAATCATGAGGAAAAAATCTGAAATTTGTTCCATATTTGACCTTGAGTAAACCCTGATTTTTTTTCATAGCTTCCCATAAATTAAGGAAAAGAAGGCTTTTGAAAATTTGATAAGCTTTAAAATTTTTTTAGAGGAACAATGAAATGCCAGAAAACGAAAATTATATCGTCGTTTCATAAATCGTAAAAACTTTTAGAACAAGGTTTTTATAGCATAATGTCTATGCTGGAGGTTTTGCCGTGACATTGAAAGAATTTCGATGCAATGACAATTTCGCTAGAATGGAATTTCCTTCACGAAATTGTTTCCACACATCCGGAAATGAAGTACAGTGAATTTTGTGGTTTACTGTATATTCCAAAATATCGCACGCAATTCCACGGGTTATGCATAATTTTTTGCAGGGAATTTCTTTTTTGGTTGTTTCTATAGGTTTCACTCAATTGTACTTGGAGTTTACAAAAAACAAAAAACAAAGTTCGTTGCAATGAATGCTTTTTTTTTAATGGAATTTCAATAGAAATTTCCATTCACAAAATCTTTTTGACACTCCTGGAACCAAAGAATAGCTACTTCCGAGGTTAAGTTTATTAAATATCACACATAATTTTACGTGTTTTCAAGAAAAAATATAAACAGCCTTTTTTCGGCTTCATTTATTTTTAATTGGAATTGAGACTAGATAAACACATATTTTATTTTGAATTCGAAGATAATTTCCAGATGAGAAAAAATGCAATTCACATTTGTCAGAAATATTGATTTTATATTCCAATGATTTTAAAATAAAACACAAGAATTCTGTTGGGCTACAACTGAGGTGCCTAAACACCCTATTCTAAAGTTGATATATTTCAATGCTTGATTTTCATAAACACATTTTTTTCGAGTACTGATGGTTTCAATCTGCTTGATACTGAGGTTCAAGGCAAAGTCCTAAACATCCAAACCTTTACAAAACCCAAACCAGAAAACTGCAAACACTGAGATTTCTACTGAGATTTTTTGTCTCAGATTATAAGTTTCTGTTTGCAGTTTTCTGGTTTGGGTTTTGTTAAGGTTTGGATTTTTAGGACTTTGCCTTGAACCTCAGTACCAAGCAGAAAAAGTGCCAAAAGGGACCCCAAAGAGTCTCTTTTGGTACTTTTTTTGGAAGATGGGTTTGCAAGGTTGCGGAAATTTCTACTGAGATTTTTTTTGTCTCAGATATTAAGTTTCTGTTTACAGTTTTCTGTTTTGGGTTTTGTAAAGGTTTGGATTTTTAGGACCATTTGTTCTTTTCCATTTCTTGTGAGAGTTGGGGTGAAACCTGATTCTCATGGAAGCTTCCAAGGATGAGTTCAGGCATATCACCAAAACTTGTCTTTTTATGACACTAGGCTTGAAACAAAATTGAATACTTGTGCTCTCTCTTTGAGAGATTAAATTAGGAGATAAACCTGAATTGGCATTTTTGGTACTTTCCTTTTATCTCTGTACCAACTTTCCTGTTATCTCTGTACCTTCCCTCTGACCAATTTAACCTGACCTGAACTAACTTCACAAAACCACCTCCAAAAATCAGTTTTTGCTTTCTTTGGGTTTCTGCTGAAACTGATTTTGGGAGGTGGTTAGGTAAAGTTAGGTTAGCAGTCCAATACAATTAATTTTCTATAAAAATTAATTGTATTGGACTGGATTGGATTGAAATGGATTGGCGGACCCAAAATCAGTTTCAGCAGGATGCAGAAAAATAAAATTCACAGTTTCTGTTAGGTCGTCATGATTATGAACTCGTCCCAAAGATTTGTCTTGATGGTAGTGCAGTCTAGGAATGAGGTACAGAGATAACAGGAAAGTATTCCATTTTCTTTGCAACTGCTGACTGAATTTGCAACACACATGTTCTCAAGCAAAAATATTTGCAGGGAATTCCGTCCATTTTTTCAGGCTTCATTCATTTTTAATTGGATTTTTGATACAAGATAAACACATATACTTTGATGAATTCAGAGATAATTCCCAGATGAGAAAAAAAAAAACAGAGCTTCAATATACTGTAATTGACCTGTTGGCGAGTTGGAAGAAAAACTTGGCGTTGTCCTCGATGATGTCAGCGTTGGCGTACAAGTGACCCGACTTCTTGGTCGTCACGTACTTGCCGTTATTGGCTCTGAAGCTCACTGACCCCTTTTCTCCCCACGTGAACTCGAACAAGGCATTCGACGACCTGTTTGCGAATAAAAAAGACACGCAAAATACAAAACATTAATCAACTAATCCGCACGCAGGACGATAATTTTTAAATCATTCATTAAAAGATGGAATTCCGTACATGCCTACGAAAAAAAAAAACAAACAAGATCGTTCAATTTTCATTCTACTTCAATTGTCATGAAAGATTTAGACATTTCATTAAAACAAATTTAAGATCACTTGAACTCGCGTTTTCAATTATGAACATTTTGATGAATTTCGACTGACGAAAAAGAAACAGATCGTTGCACAACATAAGTAATCCCAGTGAATCAAGTTATTTTCTTGACTAACAAAAAGTATTATGCCTTGTGTTTTAACATCAATTTTCACTCGAGATTCAGACATTTGAAACTCTACAAGATTTGTAGACCCGATTTCAAAGATGAAAATTTTGATACATTTTGACAGATGATGAAAAAAAGTCCATCAGAAGTAATCCCGGTATGAAATGGCATTATTATAAAAATATTATGGAAAACCAAGTACAGAATTTTCATTTTTTCTTTCAGATCAATTTTCACTCAAGATTCAGACATTTTAAATTTTAAATTCTAGATTTCCTGTAGGCTTTTTTGTTGAACAAAAAACGCAAAATACCAAAACATTGCTACAGAAGCAAATAATTCTTTTGGTTCAAGATTTCATTCAAATTTCTCTTGAAATTCTGGACAATTTGAACTCCTGTTTTCCATAATAAAATCATCTTCAACATGATACATTTCTTATGGGTTTTTCATACCCTTTTCTCATTCCACGTGAACCACCAAATCCACAGCACTGAACAACCCTGAATTCAAATCCATAGTAGCCCGAAGGCAAAAAAAAAAAGGTATAAAAAAAAACCCCCCAGGACTATAAAAACCAGAAGGCGCCGATCGCAACTGGACGCCTCTTCTTCGCCGCCGCCGCCGTCGTCTCAGTATTTGAATACATATACACATCATACCTTCTGTTTCTTTTTTTTTTTCCTCTGGACTAATTTTTTTCCTAGTTTTTTTCTCTCTTTCTTTCGTTGACGCATTAAAAGGAAAACGAAAAAATGGAAGAAAAATGAATAAATAAATGGATAAAGGGCGGCCCATCAATCTACCTTTTGTCGGCGACTGCTTGGATCCCACCGGCTGTTTCCAGGGTCCAGTACTTGTCCTGCATGGTACGTATGTACCAGCGTTTCGTGGAGCAGTCGAACTCGAGCTGGAATGTCTCGTGATCCGAAACTTCTTCTTGGTTCGCAGTCACGTCGATTCCTGTGTCAAGAAGAGCGAAAAAAAAAAGAAGCGAATGAAAAGTACACGACAAACAAATTAGGTCTGTTGATAATAATCATCATCACATTTCTGGTCGCATACGAAAAAAAATAAGAAGAATGAATAAAGCGTCAGGCAAAGAATAATTCATATTTTCAAAATTTGCAAACCAAGAATTTCCATTGGCAAATAAAAAAAGGGACTTGCAGATTGAATTGGTTCTGTAAAATATTTTGTTTGCTACAATTTCATGAGTCTTGTTTTTCAGCACGTTTTTCATGGGCTTTCCCCAACTGGGGATTATATTTCAGATTTGCACGCCAATACAAATTGGCACACCAAAAGACAAATGGCTAAACCACCTGGCAGATATAAAGCCGTCAAAAGAAGCTTCCCACAGGAGCATCTGTAAGATGACCCCCCAGTTGTATGGGGGACAAAAGTACTCAAAAAATTGGAAATGTGACAATATCTCACAAATTAATACTCCCACTGAAGCCCTAGATTCCCTAGAACCTTCCAAGGGAATTCTTCCCAAGGGAAAAAAAATTACTGTCCCATGGTTTTTTGCATCCCCTCCTAAAGGTTCATTTTCAAGGAAAAACTCAAAATCTTTAAAAAAAACAAAGTTCTGATAAATTGGCCTGGAATTACCAGACCAAATTTACTGGAATACCAGCAGAAGTCTTTGTATCCACAGACAAAGGTCCCCCCCCCTCAAAAAAGCACAGGGGGACCAAATTACATAAAAAGGCTCAGAATTGTGATATCAACAGTTCAGTTAGGGTGTGACATTTGTACCAGAGGTATGTGCCAAACTGCTGCAAAATACTGGCTGAAATTGTAGCTGAGAAGTTACAAATACTTCTGTCTTTCCTGTTGTACAAATATTCTTGTTTGAGTGAACACATTGTTGTCCAAAAAACTATTGAGACAAGTAAAGAGACTGTGGTGATCAATCACTGTTGTACTTTATTGCTTACAGTTAAGACGTTGAGTCAGAGGTTTAAATTGTTTTCCGCAACTTTCAAAGGAAACACAAAAGTTACTCCATGAGAGTATATCAAATAATTTATTTCATCTTTCACACAGTAGATACAAATACAGCTGTTGCAGGGCAAAGCAACATCAACAAGGTGTCTGGTCAGAGTCAGGTGCGGTCAACTTAATGCAACATAAAATGCACCTGTATATATAGCCTTGGTTGGCCAAGGTCAAGAAACGCGCATAGAAACCAATTTGGATTGAGGGCATCATAATGTACTTTGTTCCTTTAAAAGAAAGGAAGCATGAGCACAGTCAGGAAAGTATTTGGTTGACAACAGGATTGTGAAATATAATTGCTAGTATCCACAGACAAAGGTCCCCCTCCCCTCAAAAAAGCATACAGGGACCAAATTGCATAAAAAGGCTCAGAATTGTGATATCAACACTTCAGTTAGTGTGTGACATTTGCACCAGTGGTATGTGCCAAACTGCTGCAAAACACTTTCTGAAATTGTACTTGAGATGTTACAGATATTTCTGTCCTTGCTGTTGTGCAAATATTCTTGTTTGAGTGAGAACATGTCTGCATTTATTCTTGGCAGGTTGTGCACCTGCCAGTTGCTGAGCTTGATTAAGTTTCAATTGACTCTCATTTGCAAGAGATCCATGTTGCAAAAAGTTTGGAAAAAAAATTTCACAGAGTTACAGTACCTGAGGTTTGAGTAAGTACTTTTCTCTTCCCATGCAGAATAAAATTTGGACAGGTTCCACACACATACACATTTTATGCACAAAATTGATGAACTTCATCAACAAACTTTTGAAAAGACTTAGATTCATTACATTCTTGAAGAAAAATGTGAATAAATGGACATAAAAAACATTATAGGTCACACAATCATCATCAAATTCCTGGACTCTTCCAGAAAAAATAAGAATAAACAAGGAGTTACAAAACAATTGATTCACCTTTTCAAAATTCTCTGAACAAGCATTTCCATTCGCAAAAAAGGGACTTAGACAATGAATCTTTCCCACGTACATGAAGATTTTCTACAAAAAAGGAATATGGTAAATGAATGTCGACAAGTAAACATCTTAAAAGACTAGGTATCAATAAAATCTTGAACAAACCACAAAAATATGCTTGTCCTCAAAACACAAAAAAATGATTTTCATTGAAGAAAACTTTACAGAATACAATCAATGTATTTCTGTTTTCATTGACAAAAGAGGGATTTACTTAAAAAATGTGTCCCACATAACCAGAAAAAAATCGAGACTGAAACATCATGAATTGTCAAACTCTTGAAATGTTTGCCAAAACAAGGTAAACATTGTTGAAATATAGGGCCAGAAAAATGCCTCAAATCGTCCAGATTTTAAAAACTTTTGAGACAACCTTTTTGCCTGGTTTGTCAATTTGGTGAGCAGAAGGCAATTTTTGTTTTGAATTAATGTAATTTGTATTGAAACAAGGCAAGCATTTTAGATTTAAATAAAAAGTTGAATTAAATCAATCTTTGTGGGTTTTAAGTATATTTTTGTAAGTCATGCAAGAAAATTTGATTTGTTGTATAATCCAAAACATTTAGGAAAACTGCTACATCTCCTAAATCATCACTACAAGAATCCAAGATATTTTTACAAATAAATCTAAAAAAATTCGCAATTAACTGGATTTTGTCAAAAACAACAGGTTTTTTATACATATGGATGTTACCACATTAAAATGTATACAAAGAAATCCAAACTCGTCAAATGACTGTATAGCTGAATTTTTTCTTTTTTTTGTCTCTGAAGAAAAAAAACGTAATGTGTTTGGTGAGGAAATAAAATATAATTGGTCTGAACTTTTGAAAAATAAACAAATGAAACATCAAGTTGTTCATACACAAAAGATTTAGCATCATTTAATTTAACAAAACTCGTGTATTAATTGAAAAAATTATTGCAGCATAGCCAATTTCCACACCTGGAATATTTTCCAATGATTTGCGTGGATTCTGGAAAAATTAGTTATTTAAATTCTGTGGCTGTCGAAGTGAAAGGAGCCAATTTTTCAGTATACAGTTTCATCATCATAATTCACCTCATTAATTTTCATCATTGAGCAGAACATATTCGCTTCCATTTTTCAATTGCATGTCTTTTCATTTTAGATTTTTGAAACTAAAAAGGGCGCAATAAATCGAAAAAATGAATTGCTTCGAACTCTAGATAATTATTTTCGCTGCACGTTAAAAATCATAACAAACTTTTACATCAAACATAAAAGCGAATTATAAAAAAGAACCCAGGTGAAGAAATATAAACTCGAAACACGAAGTTCATGAAAGCAGCGATAAAAACCGACTTTCTCGCCAAAGAAACATTTCGAAATCCATGGAAACTACGAGCTACGATTTTCTCGCTTTTCCTCATTTATTTTTTCTCTTTTATTTTATTTTTCGCACAAGCTATGGAAAATGATGATTGCGAAATTCGCCAGGACTCTGCATAAAAATTGCGTCGCTCGTCTCTTTTTTTTTCTAGATCCACTCAAGCAGAATAGGTTCAAAGTTTGCACACTGAACTTCAACAAATTGCGACACATGAGACTCACACCGCGGTGAAAAACTTGACGGAAATTAATTTTGCACAATGGCTTCTGAAATCTGCCGTCTGAAGCAACGCGAAGAAACCTTCGTGCCAAATTTCCGCAACGCTGTGAAGGCCGCATAATTGCAAACATTAATTTTTCAAGGTTTGTAAAAACGCTCCAGATTGTCGGAAAGCGGACACAGGAAAATCTTGCTACAGCCAACTTGCCAATTTAAGTTTTAAAAATTATCTTGAGAAATACATTTAAAATCTCCAGTCGAAAATTTTCAAATAAAGTCAGTTGAAAGCTGAAATTGTCCTTCCAAAAAATGTTTTAGAGTAAATAAAATAATTGAAAAATTTCTTTAGACAGAATAAACAGATACATTTTTCTCTAACCCTAATCATAAATACGAAGACTTTTATGCTCTGTTACTTTATTAAATTTGAATTTTATCTTTGTTTTTGCAGCCCAATAAATAGGTAATTAAAAATATAAATGTGTATAAATCAATTTCGAAGATCAATTTGTCACTGATGGGTTTCAATGTGCAAAAATCTCATCACACTCTGATAATACCACTCATGAAGTACTGTACAGTATACTGTATTTGATCTGTAAAAAAAAAAGGAATGCATTGTTACAATCGAGTGGTACCAAATTTTTGGAAAGTTCAATGAGTTTTTCAAACAATCATGATAAATCTGAAAATGCCAGAAAAAGGTATACAGTGGAATCTATAAAAATGCAAATCAAATTAGCATCAACATTTTCACTCAATGATTCTGAACATCTTAACATAGAAAAATACTGTATCCAGTAGAAGAAAGTCCCCAAAAATTTAAGAGAACAATGGACTTCTTTCGCAACCAAATTCAAGCGACCCAACAAAAAAATAGTCAGACATGGAATTTTTTTTTAGACAAGGTCATCGTGGGAGAGAGTTTGATTGTTTTTTTCGGTTATTGATCTTGAAAATCTTGTTACAAACATTATTTAGCATTTAAGGATATGACGAAAATTTTCTGAAGTTCCCCAAAAAAGCGTTAAAAAGAGAAAATTGTTGTAGAAAAGATCGTGCAGTAGTAGAATAAATCAACCTGTATTTCATAATCGAGGACTTGAAACACCGTCATGAATTAACTAAATATTTATTACACATTGGAATCTCTCGAGGAGAAAAAAAAATTAAACTATGAAACTTCCGCTCCGGCGAAAATCACGTCAAAAAATGCAAGATTTTCCGAACACTTTTCCCGGCACGGTAATTAAGTCACACCGCAATTAAGCCCTCCCTTCCTTCCGATAGAGTCCGCAATTTATACTGTTTTCCTTCGGAAGAAGAAAAGAAAATAAAAACAAGGATTATTAATAAGGGAGAAACACGAAAAGAAATCTCAGCTCCCTTCCGTAGAGTACAGTACAGTACTGTACTTTACCACGGAACA